CTTGGGTTTCCGAGGTGTTATCTCTATGGAAGTAGATTGCCTAGGCTGCCTTCCGAATGTTTCGTTATAGCGTGTATTAATGTTGATATAGTCAACTGTATCATTGTGAAGGAACGTGAAAAATTCATAAGCCTGTGGCTAACATTTTAAACTGTGCCATAAATTTAATAATTTATTAGTTAATTTACCCAAAACTTCCCTAACAGCTTCCCATGAAATACTTCTAAGAGATGGTAACAGGTGTTGGTTCAGGGGTCAGACACATTTAGCGGCTAATATTAGAATGGTCAACACATTTCCTGGTTGCAGTTCTTGTCAGTCTCTGATATGTGAGTGTGCATTTCCCAGAAGAGCATAGCGGGTGAACCATTTGCCATACATGTTTAACTGTTGAATGTGTTTGTGTGTGGGATTCTGTTTAAGATGTAAACTGACTGGATTCCTTTACTCTGAATTTCCAGAGCAGTGGAACCACCTTGAATACTTGTTTAAAAATTAACTCTTGTGTTGTTTATACTATTCTCTCCTAAGAGAGATGGGATACTTAGCTCTTTTGTTAAGACAGCTTATAAAAATTGGAGTATATAAGTACTACCAGGCTTGGGAGAAATGAACTGCAAACATCTATTAGAAAAAAAACCTCCCTGCCCTAGAGTCGATTCCGACTCATAATGACCCCTCCTTGGGTTTCCGAGGCAGCATCTCTACGGAAGTAGATTGCCCGATCTTCCTTCTGAGGAGTGGCTAGTGGGTTTGAATGGCCAGACTTCTGGTTAGCAGTAACTATGCCACCAGAGTTCCCTATGAGAGACAGCCAAAAAAAAAGAAGAGGAGGAAGAGAGAGGGACGGAGGGAGGGAGGAAGGAATGAAGAGGACCTTTTCAAGCTGCTTTAAAAACAAAGTAAGAAGATCATAGAGAGGACTGTTCCTCAGATGAGACACAGTGACCACTTCCAGAGAGAAAAGTGTGGCACTTGTGAATAGCATAAGAGAAGAGCAGTAGTTAAGAATTAACATGGAGGACCCCACTGTACTTATGGATACATTTGTTTACGTTTTTCCCCATACTCAGTGGCTTCAGTGAAGCATGTGTAGAACATTAAAATTTTGAATACCTTATACTTTTCGACCAAATTCCTTGAGATCCACTTATTAATCAAAGACCTTCTTAGGACAAACTTGTCATTCACATTTTATTTTCTTGACATCATTTAGTACAGGTAGACATTTTAGTGCCCCTATGCTTTTTTCTGCCTTAATTTTGACACCACAGAATCAGCATTAGTGTTGTTGTTAGCTGTCATTGTGTTGACCCCACTCACAGCGACCCTGTGT